CGGCTCGCTCGCCCCCCCGAGAGGGGAGGGGCGCGGGGGAGCAGCTTTTCTCGCCCCGGAGGAGGCGGGTGGCGGGACCAGGCGTCCCGCCGCTCCAGTCCTCCGGGGAGAGAAAATCCCCGTTCGTAACTGCGGATCCGACATAAGTCGGATCCGCGTAACTCAGGGACTACCTGTATATAGCATTAGAAATTTGCTGTATAATTACAATCTCTTGTATGGCTCATCTTGTCTCTCATTTGCTGTTTGCACTATTTCTAATTCCCATTCTGCGGGACCAGGCGTCCCGCCGCTCCAGTCCTCCGGGGAGAGAAAATCCCCGTTCGTAACTGCGGATCCGACATAAGTCGGATCCGCGTAACTCAGGGACTACCTGTATATAGCATTAGAAATTTGCTGTATAATTACAATCTCTTGTATGGCTCATCTTGTCTCTCATTTGCTGTTTGCACTATTTCTAATTCCCATTCTGCTCTACTGCAGCTAATGGCCTTTATGGATGCAAGGATATGAGGGAGTTAATTCAAAGACAATTTTACAAAGCTGCTTTCAAAAAAATCAGGTCATGAGGACAAATATACTGAATAATTAATTCACTGCTGGTGTAATTCTACTGAAGCTAATAAAGTAACAGTGACTATTTTAGCTTTTTATTTTTGAGACCCAGCAGAGCCAAGTAGCATAGGTCGAAGTCAGACTAAAACCTTGTGAGATCTAATGGTGTACTTGACTAAAACACCAGCATTAAAATGCTGGCTGGTTTATTGGCCAATATTACTGATGATTTTAGATAAGGACATTCAACCTGGTCTTTTTATAAGCTCCCTTGCTGTGTTATGTTGCATCTGTGATGATCACCTTCAGATAAAGAGTCTGATTTCGAAAGTGCTGAACCTGAAGTTTCTGTAGATTGCTGTCAGAAATGCATGTATTCAGCATCTGTCCCAATCAGGTGCTAAGTCATTTGACAGTTTACCCAGAGACGCAAGCATTGAGCCATTCCCCATTGTACCCTCCTAGACTGAACTGAGGAAAAACAAATTGTTTCCCTTTTGAAATGAGGCTCTCCCAAATTCTTAGAAATTTACCCTCCATAGTGATTTGTTCTACTCCTTGCTCATACCAAATTTCTAAAAAGTGTGAATACACACCAGAAGAACTACATTTTACTACAAAAGGTACTGCAACACTGAAACCACTTTACAGTGATTTTGATTGGCTTCTCTTTTATTTTCAGAATTCTTGAAGTTTTACAGTGTTTGTGCAAGTGTGTGACTGTTTGACTTATTATGTAGCAAAGGATGCAATTACTTAGGTGATATTCAATCCTTCCTACCATTATAAAGCACTTTTTCAGAAATATTGACTTTGTAAATGAAAAATATTTCTTGCATCTATTCAGTTTTCAATGTTATCAAATTTCTGTATATAGTATATAAATATTGCATGCAGCTTTAATCTCATCCACTGCTTTGTCGCATAAAGCAAGCAAACAATCTTCCAGCCCTATGATTCTAGAGAAGCCTTCATTTCAGCTTTGTCCCCTCGAGGTTCATTGCTGTGTATAGTCCAAACTACTGTACCTTATCAAGTCAGGGGTAAGCCAACTGTGAGGTGACCTCCTCATCTGGAATGAGAAGTTATTTCCTAAGGAGGGGTTGGAAGCCACCAACGAGGAATTCATTCTGGCAATCCTGATTAAATCAAAGTAACAGTCTTGTGCAGCTTCTTCCAGCCGAAAGCACAAGTGCCGCTTTTCTCAAAGCGCCTGTACTTTCCTAAGACCATTTACTGATGTTGGGTCTTACTAGATTCCCATTTTAATGAAGTTCTGAGCAGCAGAGACAGCAAAAAATAGCATAATTTCTAGGAAAAGAGCCAAATTGATTAAACTAATAATGGAATACAATGGGTATAAAGACTGCTTTTTCTGCATAAGGTATCAGCAAACTCCATAACGCTTCATCAATAACAATAAAGGAACCTAACTTAGTGCATCTAACCACAGTATTACAGTAAATATTCTTGCCCTTGTAGCCAAGAAGACTAATGGCATATTAGGGTACATTAGGACAAGCATGGCCAGCAGATCTAGAGCAGGGATTATTCCCCTTTATTTGGCACCAGTGAAGTCACAACTGGAGTATTGCATCCAGTTCTGGGCCCCCCACTATGGAAAGGATGTGGATGCATTAGAGAGGGTCCAGCGGAGGGCTACAGAAATGATGAGGGGGCTAGAGCACATGAACTATGAGGAAAGGCTGAGGGATTTGGGCTTATTTAGATTGCAGAAGAGAAGAGTGAGGGGGGATTTGATAGCAGCCTTCAAATTCCTGAAGGGAAGTCTAAAAGAGGATGGAGAGAGGCTGTTCTCAGTAGTGACCAATGGCAGAACAAGGAGCAATGGTCTCAAGTTACAATAGGGGGGATCTAAGTTGGATATTAGGGAAAACTATTTCACTAGAAGGGTGGGGAAGCACTGGAATGGGCAGGCCTGGTCAAAGAGTGTGTGGGGCCCAAAGCAGCATGCTGAGCCCCACAGCTGTGTGGATCCCAGCCGGGTGGGTGGGGCTGGGAGCTGGGCTGGGTGGGGCCCTGAATGCATGGCGCCATGGGGTCCTGAATGTGCAGGACCCAAGGTGACTGCCTCACTTGCCAGGCCCAAAGGCCGGGTCTGGGAATGGGTTACCTAGGGAGGTGGTGGAATCTCCATCCCTAGAGGTTTTTAAGTCCCAGCTTGACAAAGCCCTGGCTGGGTTGATTTAGTTGGGGTTGGTCCTGCTATGGGCAGGGGGATGGACTTGATGACCTCCTGAGGTCTCTTCCAGCCCAAGGATTCTATGATTCCAAATTGAAACACAATAGTTACCATTTGTTAACACCAATCTTTCCATATGTAATTTCCTGCATTTATGATTTAAAGTGAGTTTAGTAGCTGTTTGAAATACAGGCAGTCCCCGGGTTACGTACAAGATAGGGACTGTAGGTTTGTTCTTAAGTTGAATCTGTATGTAAGTCAGAACTGACGTCCAGATTCAGCCGCTGCTGAAACTGACCGCCAGTTCTGACTTACATACAGATTCAACTTAAGAAC